GCAGGAGCAGCGGCCGCCGCCACCGCAGCAGCAGCAGCAGCAGCAGCAGCAGCGTGAACAGCAGCAGCAGCACGAGGAAGAGGGGCAGGAGCAGCAGCAGCAGCAGCAGCAGGATGAACAGCAGCAGCAGCACGAAGAGGAGCGGCGTCAGGAACAACAGCAGCATCAACAGTGGCAAGAAGAAGATGAACGTGAGCAGCGGGAGTTGGCTAGGCTTATTGAGGAGCAGCAGCAGCTGCAGCAAAGGGTGCAGCAGCAGCGGCGGGAGATAGAGGAGGCGCAGCAGCAGTGTAGAACTGTGGTGACGCAGCGAGCCTTTCTAAAGTGGGGTTTGCTGCAGGCAGCAGTAAAGAAAGCAGACACAGCGCAGCAGCAGCAGCAGCAGCTCACCATGAGGCTGCTGCAGCAGTTCCTCAACAAACGAAGAATCGAAGCAGCAGTCAAGCAGCAGCAGCCGGAAGAGCAGCAGCAACACTCGCAGCAGAACCGGCAGCACACAGCAGCACAGCGTGCAGCAGATGCTGCAGCAGCTGCTGCTGCTGCTGAGCTGACAGCCTTCTGGCCACCGACATACAGCAGCAAGAGCTGCAGCAAGCACAAGTCACACGCCTACAGTGCTGTCAACAGCAGCCGCAGCCACCGACGCAGCAGTAGCAGCAGCTGCAGCAGCAGCAGCAGAAACTGGAGCAGCAGCAGCAACAACAACGACATATCTGCGTTCTCCCGCTCGACACCGGCGAGGCACAGGCCTTCGGGTGTACATACACTGCAGAACGGAGAGCTGCATACGCCTCGACACCCGCAGCGCTCTCTCCGCGCAGCAGCAGTTGCTGCTGCTGCTGCTGTTGCTGCTGCTGCTGCTGCTACGCTAGGACACAAAGCCTCAGCAAAGAGGGGCGGGGCCTCGCTGTTGAATGAGCCGCAGAGCAAGAAGCATCGGCAGGCCACGCAGCAGCAGCAGCAGCAGCAGCATTCACAGAAGCAGCGCCTGGTTTGCGTTAAGAAGGAGCCGCAGCAGCAGCAGCAGCACTCGCAGCAAAGGCAGCAGCTGGTGCAGCAGCAGCAGCACAAGCGTGAGTGTGCACAGCAGCACGCGCTGCAGCAGCCGCGCAAACTGACGCAGAAGCAGCTGCAGCAGCGAGCTCAAGCCCTTATAGCAGCAAGACAAGCTCTAAGGAGAAAGAAGCAGGCCGCGCTAGCAGCCGAAGCAGAATGCAGCAACAGCAGCTGCAACAGCTACAGCAGCAGCAGCGGCAGCAGCACCTGCGACAGCAGCGCCATCAATATCAACAAAATCGCCAAAGCGTGGGACGAAAGACTTGCGGTGAGTCGCAGCATCAGCAGCAGCAGCAGCAACACCTAGAGCAGCAGCAGCAGCAGCAGCAGCAATATCTCCAGCAGCAGCAGCAACAGCAGCAGCAGCAGCAGTACACCACATCAGCAGCAGCAGAAGCAGCAACGCCTCCAGGAGCAGCACTAGAAGCAGCAATACGTACAACAGCAGCAGCAGCAGCAGCAACACCTACAGCCGCAGCAGGTAGACACTGTGCAGTGTGTGCATGCGCTCGTTTTGATACATCTCTTGTGCTGTTGCTGCTGTTGTGTATGTTTCTGCTGCTGCTGCTGATGGTGATGCAGCCTCAGGAGAGCGGAAGATCCGTGTCGGGGCTGCGGTGCTGCAGTGGGAGACAATGAGTTCTATAGAGGAGGCATTGGGGCCGACAGCTCGGCGGGTATTCGCAGCGATGCAGGGTGTGGGGTGTTCTGCTGCTGCTGCTGCTGCTGCTGCTTCTGGTGTCGGTGTCTCCTCCTCAGCCCCCCTGCTGCAGTATACCCGCTGCAGTGGGGGGCCGGCGCCAAAGCATATACAGCGGGAGGTTCTCCGCGCTGTTCATGTACGCAACCTGCTGCTGCTGCTGCTGCTGCTGCTGCGCTGTTGTAGCTGCTGCTGCAGCTATGCTCGCGTATTCCTGCTGCTGCTGCTGCGGCGGCGGCTGCAACTATGCTTTCGTCTTACTTCTGCTGCTGCTGCTGCTGCTGCTGCGCTGCGGTGGCTGCGGATCTTTTCTCGTCTAGCTGCTGCTGCTGCTGCAGCTGCTGCTGCTATGTTTGTTTGTACAACAGAACTGGGTTGCTGCAGGTGTTTGTTTTTCGTGTTTGGGTTGTATATTGGGTATCAGTGCTCGTGCTGCTACTGCGTGTTCTGCATATGTTTTGCTGCTGCTGCTGCTGCTGCTGCTGCTACTGTTGCTGCTGCTGCAGACTAGGCTGTCTAGGCGAGAGCCCCCCTTCTTCTGTCTGCCCGAGGTCCGCCTTGCTGCCGTTGCTGACGCCTGCCACCCCATAAGCAAACTGACATCTTTCACAGGGGAGAGATTCACAAGGCCAGGGGAACGCATCTGGGTCTTTGGTGCTCCCTATCCAGTTGCTGTTTGGGTCGGACCCCCCATCAAGGTAGCTGCTGCTGCTGCTGCTGCTGCTGCTGGTGCTAATGCTTCTGCTGCTACTATTCCTGCTACTGCTGCTGCTGCTGCTGCTGCTGGTGCTAATGCATATGCTGCTACTGTTCCTGTTTCTACTGCTTTTTACTGCTGTTAGTGCTTCTGCTGTTGTTATTGTTTCTGGGCCAGGAGGCAATCCGTTTGTTGACGCGTATGCAGCAGCAGCAACAGCAGCAACAGCAGCAGCCGCAGCAAAGAACGAGGGGATGTGAATGCAGCAACCCCGTGTATCGTGCTGCTGCGTTGCAGCTGGTGTTGTTTTTGTTGTGTTTGTGGTGGGGTTGGCTGCAGAAAGGAGAATTCAAAATCCTGGGGATCCGTACAGGAGAATTTCTGACGCCAGCTGAGGGGGCTGAGGCGGCGAAGGAGCTGCAACCCACGGGCCAATACGACAGCATCAGGACTTGTGATATTTATGTGCGCTGCTGCTGTTGCTGTTGCTGTTGCTGCTGCTGCTGCTGCTGCTTTGTTGCGT